GGATGGTAACTCATGGAATTGACTCATGCATAATATTCTATATATAATATATTCATATTATATATGATGAATCTTTAATTAACTACGTCGTTGCCTGCAAGTTTTGACTAAGTTGAAGCGTTGAGTTCTATATGACCTGGAGGAAAAAGGGGCCTGGACCCGGTGGTCAAAAACATGGTGGTAATGGCGGATTTTAGTCAATGAGTTCTATACAATGAGCTCCAAAACAACTGGAAGGCTAACTTGGCCGCCATCTTTGAAGCCTGCATGATCTCCGCCATTGAGGGTACGGAGGCGAAATACATCACTTCGAAATTGCCGAATTTTTTGCAAAAAACAGTGGTCTTCGAGCCAGATTAATGTCTAAAAACCTTAAAAAATATTTGGACGTTAATATAAAACAAGTTTGAACGACATTTGTACATGTTTAAGCTTATTTTTAGAAGGAAGAAAAACGAACTTTGTTTTGGCACGTGAAAACATGCCTTATAACTTGAATACAAAGCTGACACCCCTCGTTTTTTTTTCATTAAAAGGATGTAAAACACACTTGTCTATCTTTATAATATAGTTTGAATCTTTGAAAATGAAGCTGTCAGGGTAAAAAAACGTTGTACCATTAAAGAGTCACAAGGTTCAATACCCACTTAAAAAAGGACAAAAACACGATTGACACTCCATATTCATAACTTTTGAAACACTTAAGTAAAAATTGTAATGTAATACAAGTATGAAAAAGATTATTACTCTAATATTATAGAATCATCATATATTTTCACAAATATGACCAAACATTTTAAACACACATCCTAAAATTTAATATATTACATATACATTTATCATTATCTGTATTACAAGAAAAAACTAATTTTATATTCAATATGATATACTGTAAAATTTTGATACATAATATAGCTTTGCTTGCTTTATAATCATTTTAAAACCCTGGTTCAAACCACTGAATATGAGGGTTGCTTTTTGGCATTTATGTAGAGCAGGTTATATTAGCAATACTTGTCATGTTGTACACTTGGCTATTTATTTGTAAGCATGAACTTGCTGATAAAATGCTCATTACACAAATATGGATGCATGTCAAATCTTCCACCCATTCTTAAGAAGTGGGAGAAGTAAATGACAAGAACCAACAATCACCCACAATTCAAAATTTTAAATCATCACTTTCACACATTACAAAAAGAGCATGTGAAATTCTTACAAAGCAAGTCTAACTTTAAAAGCAACAAAATTGTTATGCAACATGTTATATTAGGTGGATTGTGTGTATTTTGCACAGCATTCAAAGATACAGACTAACTGTTATCAGTTTTATCTTAAATTTTTGGTCTTTCAACAACAAATAAGAAATTCATATTTCGAAGCAAGTTCTCACTTTTTTGTTTTATATAATACAGCGTTACGTATACAAAACATGTCTAGAAACGTCCACAATGCCTCTTAACACATTTATAACCAAATTTTGCTAACGGTTTTGAAAAAAATAAAACATTTAGGCAAGCATTCTATTTCCAAATTAGCAGTTTTTGCAAAACAATCCGTCACACAAATAAAACAGTCCACGTGAGATACACGCGAAGCGGCAAATCAGCTTCGAAGTGGCTTCAGACAAGTCTAGGCTTGTTTATATTGAGTTAGCCTTCCAGTTGTATTAGAGTTCATTGGTTCTATAATAACTGGAGCAGCTAATTGTACTGGGGCGAGGACGCCAAAAAATGGTTGCTAACAGACGTGTTTCCGCAGAAATAATCGCTTTGCAGTGAAAAATACACTCGACCTTCCCATGTTGTCTACAGTAAATTTCAAATAATTTTTTAAAAACAAACACGATATCACAGAATATGGATATCGTTAGTTCCATATTCTGTGACGATATTTTTTTGGCTTTTCGTTTATAATGCCAACACTTCAATCGTTCAATTGTTGGATGTCGTAGTTTCCAAAAAAAGGAACATATCGCTTCTCACAGGTGAGATAGTTGCTTGTTTTGTTTGTCCGTCAACGATTGAAAAGCAATTATAATGCACTTGAAAAGCCATAAAATACATATTAAAGATTGTATTTTTTAAGACTGACTTGAACGCCAAATATATTGATGTTTTCCTGTTTTTGTTTATAAAACTCAGCATACTTTTCTGTCATTTGTTAATGCATGAAATCGTAAATTGACCAATCTATTTGCAAAATAGTTTCCCTAAAGCAAAAAATACCCTGCAAACATCTTGCTCTGTGAGTAAGTATCAAAAAGAAACGATCAGCCCAAACAGTACCCATGATTTGGAGCAGAGCTTGTTATGTTCTATTTACTGACAACATGCAGGAAGATCAAGGAGTAAAGATTACTGGAAGATGTTATTGACCAGACAGAGTCTTAAAAAATGATAATGCTATAAAGGTAATTGATTTATTGTCGTCCCTATCCAGATATATTTAATTCGATCATGGTCAAATTCTATGGATGGAAACAATGGATTCACTAATGGCGCCGTGAATGTTTTGAAGTTACAGTTCATGAACCCAAGAAAGATGGCAAGAAGGCTGCGTGTGTTTAGATGATTAATAAAGTGTCAATTCACAAACATGTAAAATGGGAAGGCTATAAAGTTTGTATCTATGTAAACATTTGTACTGAGATTGATGATGACTCGATGCAGATGTGAAGCTTCAAATGTATAAGCCATTGGGTTTTATATAACTTAATGTTTAAATCATGTCACATCTTTATCAAAATATTTTAGTTGAGTGTTGTTTGAATGTTACTAATATCTAATGCACTATACTGAAGCATTAAAGATTCAGTGATGAAACCTTTAAAGTTACTCTACTGTATATTTCTTTATCTACAGTTTTTGCTTTAAGAAACAGTTTGAGCTTATTTACCTATTAGAGTACAGAATGGAGATTTATCATATGCATTATTGCTGCTTTATTTAAAGAAACGTTTTTTCACTTTTCAAAGCCTTTCTACTATTTTTTGCTTCTTATTTCTTTTCATGAGATTGATGATATAGAAGTAATATAATCCAATAACTTTATAATTTCTAAAAAGCTTTTAAGCTTCTAGCATAAAAGTACACTAAAGATATTTAATTCATTTGGTTTTATTGCCATAAAGAATCTTAGCTAGAAGAGACTGCCAAAATATAGCGTCGGGATGCTCTATGTATTGCCAACAGAAACATTCGTTTATATGTTTGCCAGCAATTCGTTAAGACGTTGTCTTACGGCTGGTTTGTCACACATTAGAAAGTTAACCATAGAAATTTATCAGTAGGAACAAAACACACGAATTTCAGGTAGAAAACAAAGATAGAACGTGTTCACTAAAAGGATACTTTTAAACCAAGTATAGCACGGTTTTACCATATATTTTTGTACATAGATTGCTTATATATGCTGATTTGTTCCAAAATTACGAAAGAATGAACATTCAGCATAAACATTTCATTCTGTTATTTATTTGAATAAAATGTTTACTTTGTACGGAGTGTCAGTCGTTTTGTAATTTACGAAAATGCTATTCGGCAGTCGTAATTTTTGTTGATATAAGTTTAACTATTGTATAAATGTATAAATCGCCATAATTCCACAACTAAATTTTATTTTGAATTGAAACTGTTCGGCTTTTGGCAACCAACTGCGTTGTAATCGTTTGAATTTTCAACATTAATATAAAGTCAGTCGATATCAAAATAATTTGTTGATCTCTTGGGAATAAGCAAACGATATTAAGTTGATATAAATCCTTTTTTAATGCTGTCTTCCTGCGTAGATTAACGGATGCAATGTTCTGATGAAATATTAGGTATTTCATGCATTGCATAAAACTTACCTCTTAAACTGTACAGAGTAAACTGCTCCGACTGCCAGGCCACCTATGAAGTGTTTTTATCGGTCGCAATGTTGAGAAAAAATTTTCATGCTCTGTTGAGAATCGGCACTTTGATGTACCCTCCAATATGACCGCTTTGACGTCACAAAAAAACACTCTATATCGGTAAGACTAGCAGGAGCATAGAAATACAACTGAGGGACACAAATGAGCTACGAAGAGTAGTTACAGTTAAAGCAAACCACACTGCCCTTACATCTCCTACAAACGAAATATACAACATTGACTTTACAAACGACTTATTCACAACCTTAAACGAACGATTAAGTTATTAGTTATAAGCATACCACACTAAACAAATCCCATGACAACAAAACGAAACAGACACCTACACATTTCCTCTTCACACATTGTTGTGACGCATGAAACATACAACAAATACAATGAAGTTGACATTTACTTCTCTCGTGACTCACATAGAAACGTCAGTTCATACTAACGCCATTAACAGCCCTTCTTTGGACTGCATTAACCTGGATATGCTTCATCCACAAATTTTTATGTAAATAGAATGGAAATTACCAGTTAATATGTTTGAGAACGGAAAAACATCATTTGCTGGCAAGATATGCTTCTCATTTCTTACTTCTTAGCGATCTAAAAAAATTTCTGTTGTGTTTACACATTTCTACGCAGTTCGACTGTTGATGTTTTCGTGGAACCATGACAACAGTTGCTCAAATAGAATTCGCTGGAAAAGTTTCGCAAATTGCATTATTGATGAATAAAGCAAATTACTGCAAATTAATTATTATGATCATTATATTATTAATGCAACCCAATTATTTGCGGAATTCTATAGCATGGGTACAAACAAAGATTTTGCTAAAATTTTTACTAAAAATATTGAAAATGACAGTCTAATTACGTTTTGTAATGATCAACTAGTTTCTCAGCCCAATTCACATCTTGCAGGCGTTGTAGCAAAATTAAATGCAAGTTATACACAACTGCCCGTTTGTTGATGAAGTTTCGTTTTCTGATAATTTATAACTCATGGCATTCTAATCAAATTATTTTAAATTTAATTAGCGTCTATAATTTATTTTGCCGAACTCAACATTCCTAACTGCCAGTCGTATTTCGTAGTGCGAAGCAGTTCTGACCAGGAGATATTTAGCTTCTTGTGGCATACATTTTCAACGGTAATGGAAGAAATAATATTATCAGCTTTGAGCATAGCTGTGGATGTCGAAGAAGACCAACAGAAAATACATTTTTTGTGTGTATTTATCGACAAATTAAAGATATTGCGCAACAAATCGCCAAAATATCTCCGCCGTAGTTTTATTTGCTTTGAAGAAGGAGTTAAATTGTTGAAAGACGTTGACTGGTCAGCTGCAAAAGAACAATCGTCACTGACACAGCAACCCACGAAAAAATCATGTTTAGCGTATTTTAAAAAAGCCGGTGAAAGAGCGAAGACAGCTTTCTTTAATAATGCGTCATTGAACTTCGAAGAGAAAATAACAGCAAGCAAGATTCGCATTGCCAGCGCTATTCTTCAAAATTTGGATGACTGTGAGTTAGCAACAATTGATTGCATAGCAAGCTTGAAGGAGTTAAACACTGAAGTTTTCGCCGGAGAAAATTTAAAACTTGTCAAAGACCTAGAAGTTGGCATCCTTGACTCTATCATATATGTGAACTTCACGTTGGCGAGTTTTATACATCAGCACACTTGCAAAAGGATGTCTGTTATGGAATGGCCCATGATTCATTATGGTGAGCAGTTAATTCATCCTTTCTATCACAAGAAAATCGAAAAAATGACGAACGCGTCCCTACCTTGGTATGCAATTCACTTTCAAAAGAACGACGTAGACTTTATAAACAAGAAAATGGTCGTAACCAATGAAGGAGAACTGCTAATTTTTGATGGAAAGAAACTTCAAAAACTTGACAACAAAACTAAAAAGCTTCAACCATGGTGTGTAGAAAACTTTGACTTTGAAAATAGGCAAGTAAGATGCATGAACGTTGTTAAAAATGGTGTATATTTACTGTTGGATCATAAAGACAAACCGAACGGCAATTATCTGTTGGCACTTTGTTCGGAATGTAAAATTCTTCAAAAATCATCTTTGAACTTTCTTGATGACAAACAATTTCGTAAATTTTTTCTGGTTGCAATACCAAACAATAAAATTGTCATGGCTGTTGTCGAAAGTTCTAAATCTGACGTCATAATATACGTATGTAACAAGAAAGGTGACATAATTAAGGACTTTGTTGCAAAAGATAATCATAAACCAATTGAAGGTGAAATGAAGTGTTTGTCCGTCTGCTCAAATGAGAACATAGCCATTTTAACTTATCAATTTCCTCGATTATACCAAATCATTATTTGCACCTTGAACGGAGAATGTGTTAGAAAAATGAAATTTCATCCGCATGCTAACGAGATCAAAGTATACAATCAAGTCATACCCACTCCCAACTCCTTCACTGGTTTCTACTTCAAATATGATAAAACAATGCTAGTAATTGAGACATTTTCCATTGACACTGGAGAATTTAAGTCAAAAATTAGGCTGATGAATGGCAGGGTACGATCCAGTAATGTTTAGCAGCTCAACGCGTCTCGTTCATCATCTTAACGGACAGGTGGCTTTGGTTTCTAGAGAATGTATGATAAAAATATGCAAAGAACATAGTGTGCACGGAGCCATGAAACCGACTTTGAAATGGAAGATATTGGAGAAAGATTCAGTCAAATCGATCTCATTGCCAGGTAAAACATTTCTGACAAGCCGATTTAATTCAAGATTAGGTTATCAAATTCTAATTAGGTTATTAAATCTAATTGCTCTAATAAATATCTATATTTTTTTAATGTACTACACAGTACTTGGCAATATACTTTTATAAACTTTTTCCAAAAATGAAACATTTACTCTTACGATTTTAACTTATGGAATTTAAGGCGTCCTAATATAATCTCACTTTTTCTCTCTTCCTGTCATACTTTACTTTTGAAGGCTTTGAGTTCATGTATAGAAGATTTAATTCTTAATTTTCAGTTAGGCATCATCTAGAGGCAATGAAGAATAAGTGGGAAGAGTTTTTTGACGTTGTAAGGCAAGAGTTACGACAAGAACTAGCGGAAGAAATACGGCAAAAACTATGTGATGAGCTACAGGAAGACGTACGGCACGAGCTACGGACGGAACAACGAGACAATGTCCGACAAGAGCTGCGAGAAGATGTAAGGTTGGAGTTACGGCTAGAACAACAAGAAGATGTACGGCATGAGTTACGTGAGGAGCAACGAGAAGATGTACGGCATGAGCTACGGGAGGCTCAACGGGAAGACGTACGGCATGAGCTACGGAAGAACAACGGGAAGACGTGCGACATGAGCTTCGCAATGAGCAACGAGAAGATGTACGGTATGAGCTACGAGAAGAGGAACGAGAAGATGTACGACAAGAGCTACGAAAAGACCTACGGCATGAGCTGCGAGAAGAGCAACGGGAAGATGTACGACATGAGCTACGGAGGGAGCAACGGGAAGACGTGCGACATGAGCTTCGCAATGAGCAACGAGAAGATGTACGGTATGAGCTACGAGAAGAGGAACGAGAAGATGTACGACAAGAGCTACGAAAAGACCTACGGCATGAGCTGCGAGAAGAGCAACGAGAAGATGTACGACATGAGCTACGGGAGGAGCAACGAGAACATGTACGGCAAGAGCTACGGGAGGAGCAATGGGAAAAGGTACGGCATGAGCTACGAAGAGAGCAACGAGAAGATATAAGACATGAGCTTCGGAAGAAGCAACTAAAAGATGTACGACAAGAGTTGCGGGAGGAGCAACGGGAAGCAGTACGGCATGAGCTACGCAAGGAGCTACGAGAAGATGTGCGACAAGAGTTACGAAAACACGAGCGACAGAAAATGCTCCTTGAGAACAAAGGTAGGTTGAACTATTTTCTCATACAAACATGAAAAGGTTTTATAAAAAAGATGTGTAAAACGTGTGATCTGACAGGTCAATGCCTGTGTTTGATTCGGGCCATCCCATCTCAAAAATCAAATTGCTGTCGCAAGAATTTTAAATATGTCTTGAAAAAAATAACAATTTTTTGCAAAATTGATTTGTAGTGCTTTTCTGGCAGTGTAAATGAGAACTTTAATCAATATTGATGATTTACCTAAATCTTTAATGGTTATATAGCTACATACACATATCTCTGAGTAACTTAAATATCCTCTTTTATATAGCTCTAAAACTAGTCAGAGACCTATCGGAACATTTAAAAGACCCGTTAATAGAGAGATTAAACCGATTTCATGTTGACGTTCTCTCAGAAATTGCTACAAACATGTTGGAGGTGCATTGTTACGTGCATAACAGTGCTGACTTATTGGCTAAGTTGAAAGAAAACAAAATCAGGTTTCTGTTTCGTGAGTTTCGAAGGAAAGATCAGTTTAAGGATGTTGTCCTTTGGATGAGAAAAAAATTTCCTGTTGGCAGCACGGGTATATGAACTAAAGCAAATTATGTACATGTGAACATTATAATTCTGTAGCTATGACATATCTACAGCGAAAAAAAGATTTTTAGTGCAAAGTGAAATGATGCTTTTTTAAACCCTACAAAAATAATACATTTGATTTTGTGTGTCATTTAAACTTCTATAGGTCCTTTAAATTGTGATGATGAAGAAAAAACTGAGAAAATGAACTTTGGCATTCGAAGGGAGGTCTCGATACGTTTGAATTGTAAGTGAAATTGTAACTGAGTGTGACATGTTCTGTAAATTGGTACATTGAAACTTTGCCATCAGTTGATATATGATTCTGACTGCCACGCTTATTTATTCCATATTCATGGATAATGCTATGATAGAAGTTTTTCGTTCCACAAAGGAGGAATAGACCTGCAAAAGAGCAAGCACAAGTTGTTGCTTGATGTGTTACTCAACCATTTAAAATTTAAATTTAGATAACACATATGTAATGCATCTTCAAAAACTGTTAAATATATGAGAAAACTGCTCAATGCAGTAAAATAAAATTTAAATCAGATTTGAGACGTGTGACTTATATTATGGTTAATTTAGTGAAACAGTTTCTTATTCTCTTTATACTTTATATATTTTGTTGAATTTGTCAAAATGTATAATCATTACAAACGAATTTTGTATCATTCACAGCGAAAAACTGTTGGGAAACCGTTGCGAGCCACCGCGTTATGGACCTGACAATAATTGACATCCGCAAATTTATGAAGTCTGAGAATCCTGCTGAGGAAGTGATATCTCGATGGGAATCCAAGAATAAATCAACCGTTGGATTGCTGTATGATCTACTGGTAGATTGCGAATTGTACAATATTGCTGATCTTTTATAATGCAAAAACAATGTTTATTATAATGCCGGGAAAATAATTGTGAACTCCAGTGTCACGTATGTGTATCTGCTAGAGGCCCGATGCGTATTAATTCTGATTATTTAGTTTTGCTTTGAAAAATTTTCATCGTTCACTCACTGCAACATGATGATAGTGTTCTGAAATTCACGTAGCAGTACTAAAACTTGAGGGATGGCAACATTTCGAGGCAGTATTATTTATTCCTTCATTATTTGCATGTCACCTTCAAATATTGTAAATATGTTAACAGATGTTTTTGGACTTTTGGTGAGCAAGTTAAGGCTTGGCTGCCATGATGAATAATTTTAACAAAGGATTTTATTTATTTACAATGCAAAACTTACATCCAACATGGCACAAATTGCACTATTCTCTCACTCTCAAGGGAATTCTCGCAAACCTCCAATTGTTAAAATATCGTATATGTTTTTTTCATTATTATTGATCTGCACAATTCCCTTTTTTGTGATATTCTTCATTTCAAAGCGAAATAAAAGGGCTTGTACAACTTTAACGTATACATACCAGGTATCTCAAATAAACTGCTCATCTTCGATATCAGCCGACATTTAGAACTTGCATGATTCATGAATAATATTACTCCAAGGAATCGTAATTGCAACTGAAATGAATTTCATGCTTGAAGTTTGCAATGCACAGTATCTGTAATTTGCTGTGACAGATCATGGGTGCGTCAATATAAAGCACTGTAGAACAATTTGAAATATATTTACATTTCCAAGCCCTTAGAGATTAGTCAGTTGGTAAAACTATACTCTTCAGAAATTTAAAACCAAAAACGTTTTTTGAGCACTTATAATTTATTTTGACGAACGCTGTATGGATCCCCGCTGCTGAATGGATATTTGTAGGCATTATTGCTTTCAACTGCGTTTTTAGGTTTTTGGTTTAATTATTTCTATAAGGCCTGTTTCAAACGTGGCATTTTACATGAGTCAAAAATTCCTCATTATCTTTTGTTTTAAATACATTCAACACATCTAAAAAGCAACGCTTAAAATGGGCCTAAATCATGTAAATTCCAGACGTCGACTGATTTCAAAGATTAGCAATTTTTGGAGACAGGGTGTCTCGCATATTATATACGATTTTTAGAACAATGACAACGAGTTTGATAAAAAATAGCTTCAGTAACATCCCGTCCAATTTAAATTCAACAAAGTCACCAGCAGTATGGTTTTGAACTTTGCAATCAGCGATAAAATCGAGAAACAGATAAATTATTAAAGAACAATGGTTGTTTGCGTGATATTCTATTTCTTGTATATCAATAACTGTCATTTTTTTTCAAATTTTAATTCCAGATCATTGTCATATTGTCGGGATATTGATGTTCTCTGCGAACAAAAATTGTCACTGCTAAACATTTGCACGAATAATGTATTAGTTCAGATCAACACAATGACTACAATGGTTATTTGTGTGATATGTATACGCATTTGCAATCTAAATTGGATTGCAAAGCAACACTTGCGTAACGCCTTGGTCTTGTGGTCTGGTGAGTCAGTTTATAACTTTGTAAAGTTCGTTTCTTCCCACGTATTATCCACTGTTTGGATAAACTTTGTTCATCGTGTTCATTGCTTTCGTAGCTTTAAATAAACATTATAATCTTTAGATATTTCGCTTTTCTTGGAACGCAACTCTAATGGTGATGGAAGCAATAATTAAATCAGCTTTGTATATAGTTGTAGATGTCGGGGAACGCCAAAATGGTATGCATTTTATGGATGTATTTAATTATGAATTAAAGATAGTATACAATAAATTGGCAAATGAATTTCGCGACAGTTTCATTCACTTTGAGGAAGGAGATAAAGTGCTGATACGCATGCAAGGGTCAACTGCATATAAAACATTGTTATCGACATACGTACCAACAATATTTTCAATATGAACAGCTGATAACGTTCGTTAAGCGCTTCTCCGCTTCCGTTCTTTACAAATAAATAAATACGAACAACCTTGACCACACGGCCACGGCACAGCATTTCTCATACAGCTCTCGATAGAATTGTACACACTGGTTGTACATGAAAAAGCATAAAATTATGTTGATTATATGTTCGCATTTCAGCACGATGCTGAGGGTAGGTCTTGATTGCCTTTATTTACCACAGCTTTGATTTGGTCGTCTCAGGATAAATGTTTCAAATTTCAAGTAATAACGCCAAGATTTTTGAGCTGTACATTGCTACTCTTATTTAGTGTAGCAAGTTTATCTTGCTGCCAACATGGCGGAAGTAGCGCATGCGCATTAAAATTTAGGACCGCATTTTTCGCTAAGAGGCCCTTCTGTTACGTTATCTATTCTGTGACGGCATTGTCTTTTGTTGATGCCTTGAACGAGTAAGGAGCATGAATTGGAATTGATGTATAATTTTGACTAGAAAATTAAATTGATGACATTTTGAGAATTGTGTTTGACTGCACGCAAGCTTTAGATAGTATACAGTCCCATAGAGAACCGGCGGACGCATAACTGCTTTGTGCTAACGTGCAAGGGAGAAATTTGCTACAGACATTTCAGTTGTAAAATCAAGTCACGCAAGCAAGCTAAATCAAATTATCATTGTTGAAACTTACAAAATGACGTGCGCCAGAACTGTCTTATTAAATGTTTTACGCCGTTGTTCTCAGCACAAAAAGAAAAAACGATCAACCCTATAGTAAAATACTTTTACCTTTGATCGATGACGTCGTCTTTTCTGATGTGCTGACCAATTTCATCTGGGTTCCCGTGCTGGAAATACAGATAAACTGCATGCGAAAATATAGGCAAACCAGGACCTCCATTGATAATTCATGAAGCAACCATTCTTCCAGCTACTTTAAAAAGATTCGAACGCAACGCGTCATTTATGAATGGGAAGAAAACAATGATCACGCTCCTCGAAAAGACGTACACAGGCAGATGACGACAACAAACCTCTCAGCAAAATGGTGAAATATTCTCTAAGAGGTCCTCCTCCATCTACAGCAGGTTCTCTCTCAAACGTAATTTTAATAGGCTTTGAAAAATCAAAATTACGCTCTTTAAAAAAGGCAATGCTGTCCTCGAAGATAGACTCTCGCGCAACACATAGCCTCTTTGGAACTTTACTCGTTGGGCGTAAAGACCGAAGCACATCGTCTAGCCTGTTGATAATACCTATTGTTGATTCCGAGTTATCACCTAAGTCAAAAAACACACATAAAATGTATACAAATGCGCACAAAAGACGATGCCTTCATCTTATTCAAATGTAAACGAAATTCATTAACAAACCATGCAAAAGTAGTTCCACTGCTTCGTCAGTACTACCATTGGCCATCTCAAGGGCTGACGAAATTTTAGATAAAGTATGCCAGGGAAAGATAGTTTTTATCGCATCCACAGCTAATATAAGTAATAAATTGACGTATTAATGGACGCTAAAATATTTCAGACAGTTTCACTGACTTGATAAAATTTCAAAATCATATCTAATTATCATAACCTGTTCCAGAAATAGGGGGACTACTCATCTCTGCAACTGATCGATAACTTTCCCTAACGAAAAAAATTATTGAAAAATCACATTTAAAAATTTTCTAACATTTGAACAATAGCACAAGAATGTAGCATAAGAGTGGGCAACATGATTTATGTTAGAAATTATGAGAGTTAAAGGTATTTTCATATCAGGATAACTGCTGCAGCACAAGGTTATACCCAGTGGCGGACACTTGACGAAATGTGGGAAGTGACAGGCAAAAGCGATTCCAGTAATAATCAGAAATATTCCTGAACATTGAGGTTCAAATGCTTATTTATTAAAATAAGTCAAGTCTTAATGACTAAATACTAACAAATCTTAATAAATGGTAAATTACCAGCTTCTAGAAAATATGCAAATAAAAAATATGTGCTGATAAATGATACAGTAACAGTATCATGTTTGATAAAACATAAAAATTAATTCTAACCATACCATCTAAGCCTCTAACAAAAGAAGCTTTCTTTAAAAAATATTTTTGGCAAAAACGCTTGTCTTCACTAGTGTTGAAATATGTCATTTTTTTTGAGTAACTTGATGCTAACACACAAGAAAATATTACTAATAAGACTTTGACATTTTCAGAATGTTCCGAATACACACCATATATCCGGACAATGTACTTCATTGCAGGGTAAACCTAAACTCTGAGTTGCCCCCTTTAGCTAAATTACATGCTTATTACTGTATTTAATATGTAAACTTCTGAAATGAAAACGTTCTTGTGTTTTTTAAAGATGGTTAAAATTTTTAAAAAAAAATTAAAGGGGGAGGGGACAACTGCCATCTTCTTAGTCTCTGCCACTAGTTACACCAAAATCTACCTTTCTTTATCATTTTCATAAGAGTCAGTTGTCTTGCCATAACAAATGCATGCATGTTCATTAGTTTGAGCCACTGTCATGGTTTCATTGCAATCTTCGCACTTTACAGTGTACACAATGTTTAACAGTTTTTCCTGTAAAGCAAACAGGCTTTAAAATACATTTATAAACAATGACAGCAAGGTATGCTATATTTTCTTTAAAATAATATCTTTATCTTACAATATCTTTAATCGACAAGGCTAAAATTATTAACATAAAAAAGAGTACATACAATTCATCATCATCACCGCAGCTTTCTTGATGCTCCCTGATATTGTTGACAGCTACATCAAGTTTACAGTTAAAACACATGACTGTGGGTGCAGGATCACAATCTTCCGGACGAACAAGGCAAATATGAAAAATTAGCAATGAAACACATGACACAAATACATAAACTAACTTATTGAATAAGCTGTTTGTTTTGCCAAAAAACTAATCAACAACAAACATGCACTTCTTTCTCTTTTTCATGAATAAACATTAAAAAAATACTCACTTCGCGTGAGTCAATAATTTCAGAAGGTGTCACATTTAAATTGCATTGGATTGGTCTTTTGAAAGGACAGCCTGTCCAAGTCCTCCTATATCGCGTAAAAATGGCACACTATATCCAGACCGACGTGGTTTTATCATGATCAAATCACTGGCTTGCACACCACGTCTTAAGATGTCAAATCCTCCACCATCTTTCAATTTAGGATACACAGCTTCTAGCTTAATATTCAGATGAAGAGAATTTGCTTTAGCTTGAAAAGTAATTTTTCTTTTACCCAGCACTGCTCCTTGAAGTTGCTGTTTGAGGTCCAAGCTAGGAGCAGCATTTTGCTTACAGTTGGTCAAACAGAAAAATATGTGCGTCCAGCTTTCCCGTTCGTTGTATGGTGTAGCCTTTTGAGTTTGTTTTCTGCGCTTGGGATGGAAAAAGATAGATTGGCTATCCGAGCTTACACTTCTTCTTCTGTCTCGGTATGGAGAAAAAAGAAAAAAGGTTTCGGAAATTGCCCAAAATGCGTTGTGAGTTGTTTACTCTCGACGATTGCATTATCAATGGAGACGAATACGATTGTGTATGACGTGAATGTGCTACATCTGAAGACGAAGAAACAACTTGTGCTCTACTATCGAGGCTGGCATATTCTCCAGCATCAAAATCTTCAGCTACAGCAATCAATTTCCTTGCCTTTTGCAAAAGAGAAACAGCGCGGTGCCGATCGAATTTGCTGTCTTCTGCCACCATTATTTACTAACAGCCACGCGGGTGATGCGGTTATGATAATGCCTTATTTGGTGGTGGAATGCACGTGTCCGTGTTCCATTTTCGTTCACAAATAAAATTGGTTTCTGAGTGCATTAATTTATGGTGATTGCTAGATAGTATACTTCAAAATAAGATTATAATATATAATTATAAAAACTTGTGCGTAAAAGGACATTACAAAGTTTTACTCTTTAGTTGGACAAGGACAGTATCTTCTTCAGAAGAAGAACAGCAAAGCAATTACATGAGACAATGAAAACTGGCACAATTAAGAGCAGCGACATCGAGATGCACTATGTCGTGAAGTTTCCTCGCCCTTCAGAACACAAAAATCACATAACTGGAATGGTAAAATTTGTTTAAAAAGAGATTAGCTATAGCTAAAAATTTTTGTAAAAGTTTTACAGCTTGCAGGCAGCTGGTATAAGAGAACCATTGGATCCAGTGATAGTGGAGAAGCTAGCAGAGCTGGCCCGCGACGGTGTTCACTCAGTATGCGAAGCACGTAGATATCTTGAGTTATTTGTAAATGGTGAACTATTCAAGGGGTGTAAACTTCCAGATAAACTTAGCAGGCGATTTTATCCTACGAACAAGGATATCTATAACCATCTTTACAAAGGAAAGCCAAACCATTTTTCTTCCAATGATCAAAAGAACTTGGAAGAGCTTATTAAAAAAATGGAAGTTTGAAAATCCACAAGATTTCTTTCTGTTTCGTCCTCACTCCGGCAAACCATGTGCAGAGGAGTCAACAGAGAACAATGATAACACCATCTCAAACGAAGATACAGAGGAATCGTTAGAGATGGACACAAGCACTTTAATTTTCTGTCATCAAACGAAATATCAGAAACACCTCCTAGGAAAGTATGGCAATCAAATGTGCTTACTCGATGCCACCTATAGAACAACGAAGTATGATCTCCCACTTTATTTCTTGTGTGTGAGAACAAATGTATGTTACCAAGTTGTTGGATCATTTATCATACAGTTCGAAAACATCAAATGTATACAGGAAGCGTTGATGGTGTTTAAGGAGTGGAATGCTGATATATGGAAGCCTTCTCGTTTTATGGTAGATTTCGCCGAAGAAGAAATTCAAGCACTCGAAACAACCTTTCCAGGTATGCAA